TGAACCTCGAGGACAGCCAGTGCTGGGCATGTAGGTCTTGGTCTTCTCTGAAAGGTTTCTGTTTGGCATGAGTGGGCTTCCTCAGTTCCCTGGTATACCTGGGTGCTGGTGAACATTCACTTTTTAAAATTTTTTTCTGTAGTAGGGATTGAATCAAGGGATACTCTACTACTGAGCTACATCCCCAGGGCTTTTTATTTTTTTATTTTGAGTCAGTTCTCACTGGTATCCCAGGGTAGACTGCAAAGTGTGATCCTCCCACCTCAGCCTCCTAAATTCCTGGGATTTGAGCCATGCACCACTGAGCCCACCTGAATACTCTGTTTTTTTTTTTTCAAACCACAGATTGAACCTCGTGGTGCTGAACCACTGAGCCACATCCCCAGCTCTGTTTTATTTTTTGGAGACAAGTTCCCTCTAAATTGTTTAGGAACTTGCTGAGTTCTAAGGTTTGTTTTGAACTTGTGATTCTCCACATGAGCCTCCTAAGTCACTGGGATTGGACCTGTGTGCTAACATACCAGCCTTAATATGCCAGTTTCTGAGAATATATTTTATTTTACCTTTTTCTCTCACACTTTATATTGTATTTTTTCATTTAAACATCTAACCAGATGTAGGATTTTGTTTTTTTAAAAAAAACATGTTTAAGCATTTTCCACTAATTTGCTACACCGGTTGTCTTCTGATGAGGCAAAACTGTGAGAAGCTTGTTACAGACTTTCAGATCACACTAGGTCCTCTGTGATGTGTAAATGCAGTAATTCACAGATAAGTCCTTCCCTGTTCCTTCTGTAGTCAGTGAACTGAGCCCTACTCTGGGTGCTCAGGTTGCTGTATTATATATTATTACGTATATATTATGCATATATGTTGTTTTGTATTGCGTATTATTTTTTCTATTTTGGAGGGGTTCCATTGTAAATGAACGTTTCTCTTAATTGAATTTCAGTATTTCCTTTCATATATATAGAAGTTGATTTTTTTTATTACTAATTGATTTTTATTGAGTTTTGTGTCTTGTCTTTTTCATTGCTGACCTTGGGCACACATTTTCCTATTAGGTACTTCCAGGTTTTGAACACCACTTGTCCTGCTGCTGTAAACTTTGAAGTTCAGGATTTCATGTGTACCTTCATTGTGGACTCATTTGGGTTTTATCAACTTTGGAAAATGGCTTGGGGTCCAGGAGCCACTACTGTGACATATGAAGTGGAGATGGTCACTTCAGCATTTGAAAGTTGAGTGGTCATGGCCCTGTGAGGAGGTTTGTGTGAGGCCTATGTGTATTTGTGTGTGTCTTAGAGCCTCACAACTTCTTAAGTATTGATTTCCCCCTATGTAGCAGGCTTTCGGTAGGTGTTGTGGCGAAGATGCCCCATCAAATGCCCCTGTCCACTTGCAGTAGACTCTAGTGAGCAGGAATCCAGAAATACAAGTCAAATACTCACTGCCAAGTGGATTCTATTGATGGGGAGAGAGTTGGTGACAGTTGCAGAGGCTGCACTGTCTTCTCCCATCTTGTTGCCTGTGGTTGCTGTCTCTGCAGGTGAGTAAATCTGAGTCTCTGTTGCCTGCATCCACCTGTATCTTCTTGGTAGAGTCCTTGGTTTTGCTTCAATGTTTGGGGCTATGTGAGCTTGCTCTGAGGTCTGGAATACTGTGATTTTCTTCCTGGTTTCCCTGGTAGCACCCCTCTTGGTCTTGTCTATAATTGACTTGTTTTTGTTATCATGGAGACAGCCTTTCATCCTTACATAGCCTCAGGGTTTGTAGATCCCCCTGGCTTTTCAGAGTGTTAAGTTCTTTTCCAGTTGCTTGTTTATGTTGTGAAGATGGCTTGAGCTTTGTCATCTGCTTTTTCTTAATTCTTTCAGGTATCAACACCTCCAGATGCGTGAGGCAGTTCCTTGGAGTGCCATTTCATTCTGCTGATGGTGTCCAATGAAGGACAACATTTTTACTTTCAAGTGTTGATTCACTTTTAAGTTGCACACCTGTTCCAGTGTGCCATGAACAGATCAGGGCATTAGCTCTTCCATTTCCTAATATTTATTTTTCTGTGTCTCTGGACTACTCCCTCAGCTGTATTATAAAATATAGATTGACGTGCTGTGTACTGTGGTCACCTATATTCTGGAGGGCAATACTGCTGCTGGCCCCTCTGTTGTAAATTCTGGTACCTGATACTCAGCTTCTTTCTCCAGTCCCTCCCTGTCCTGTCTCACCTCTCTTTTTTGCCTCTGGTGACTACTCCCTCGTACTTTCTATGAAATCAACTTGCAACTTCCCCATGTGAGTGATAAAATACAGTGTGCCCCTCTCTGCCTGCCTTATTTCACTTAGTATGGTATTCATAGTTCCAGTCTCATTGCTCTAAATGACAGGACTGAAAACTATTTTTGGTGAAATCAAATTTTATCTATTATTCTCATGATTGATGTGAATGGTATTATATCCCAGATACCATTCCCATATCTGGTATTGTGAGACATGTGCTCTACGTTTTCTTATAGGAAGTGTGAGGTTCACATCTTACTTCAGGACTTTGGTCCACCTGGATTTCATGTATACATGTGTTGTGAGTGGAGAGTTGGACTTTAGGTGTTAACATGAACATCCAGTTTCCCTGCCCATTTGTTAATACAGAGGTTCTGGACCCCTAGCCTGACCCTGAGGAATATCATTTTCTTCTGTGTGTCAACACTGGCCTGGGTCCCTTAATTTCTTCCATTGCTGTGTGTCTCTGCCTTTAATAGTATAGTTTGAGTGGGTTTTGAAATCAGGAAATGTGATGCTTGTCACTTTATTTTTCTTCTTCAATTTTTGAGTTTCTTGCAATTTCATGTGAACATTAAAATGATACTTCTTATTTTATATAAAAATTGCACTGGTGCTTAGCACAGTGGCACATACCTGCAGTCCCAAAGGCTTGAGAGGCTGAGGCAGAAGGATCACAAATTCAAAGCTAAAAGTCTCCAAAAGTGAGTTGCTAATTTGAAAGTGATTGAACTGACTTTATGGTTAATATTTGGGTAGATGTACAATTCCTTGTGCTCACAAACACCAAATATTTTTACTTGTATCATTTTTTTTTCAGAAATATTTTGTACTTTTTATTGTGCAAGATATTACAGATAATTTCTAAAACATTTTTATGCAGCTTTCTCCTTCTGTTCCTATTCCTGGCTCTTTTTCATTTCGGTCATGCATTTATTCATCTCATTACATGCCCTGGCATGTAATTGCAGGTTTATCCCCCACTTATTTTTGTCTTTTAATTCTCCCGCCCTTTTTTTCCATACTGGGGATTGAATTCGGGTGCACTTGAGCACTGAGCCACATCCCCAGCCCTATTTTTTTTTTTAACTGAGGATTGAACCCAGTGGTGCTCAACCACTGAACCACATCCCAAGCTGTATTTTGTATTTTGTTTTAGACAGGGTGATACTGAATTGCTCAGCACCTCACTTTTGTTGAGGCTAGCATTGAACTCAAAATCCTCCTGCCTCAGCCTCCCAAGCCCCTGGGATTACAAGTGTGCACCACTGCGCCCAGCTCCCAGCCTGTTTTTAACTTATCTTTTAAATTGCATGTGAATGTGTTCACTTCTCCATAATACCTTCTATGTCATTATTCAATTTTCCATGTGAATTTCAAGCCACTGAAAATTTTCTCTTCTCTTGGTCTATCTCTTTGTTCTTCTCCATGCTAATACTATGCTGAGTCCAATAGTATAATTTAAAATTTCTTCATTTATAGTCAGGTGTCACTTATACATTCTGGAAGTGTGTTTTTAGGCTGGCTTACCATTGCACAAACACCATAGTGTATTCACAGTCCTAGAAGTAATGATTAAATACCATGGCTGTATGGTGTCAGTGCTCCCTAGGCTACAACCCTGCACAGCATTTACTTGACAAGGTACCAAAGTTTAGCATGCATTAGATTTGTTTGTACCACTATCACTACAAACACATTAGTAATCATTTTACTACAGTTTAACATGTATATGTAAGCCATAATTAACCAAAAATGTCTTTGACCAAAACATTGTTATGAGGCACATGAGTGTGTATCATATTAACCAACAGTCTGCTATCTAGAACATATTGATAGATGTTACACATTTCTTAATTCTTATTATACCTGGACAAGTATGTTGATTAATGGGAATTTTGTTTGATAAATGTCAGAAAAGGTATTTGACACTCATCTCATTGTATTTTGATATTAATTGGAAGATATTATCAAGTTGTTTATTACTAATTGTTTTTGTTTATTATTTGGTTAAATTTTATTTGGAGTGAAGCACCTACATATTCAACTTGTTCTCTTAGTGTAATCACAAAGGATGAGCTCAATCCATAGTTACCATGTTGTGACCACATCAATGCAATATCTACTCTTAGAGTCTTCTCTTAAAGGGTTCTTTTTCTTTTCTTTTTTTGAGATGTGGGGGTACTTTGATTCTTTAGGCTCTAACATAAGAGTGGGACAAAATAACAGGATTTCAAATGTAAAATGAATGTTTAGTAAATACCATGTTGTTTACATACTCTCAATCACTATGACTCAGTGTAAATGGTTAGTTTGGCGAAATCATCTCAAATCTTTAGCTCCACCTACTAGCTAAAGTACAACTTTTTCAGCAGGGATTTCCAAGTATAGGTCCGGTCAGGAGGTCTAATATTAGTGCTCTTCTACACATTAGATGAGAACCCTACAAAGACATTAGAGGTGACACAGGGCCATATCTTGCTCCCTGGACTTTACAATGAGATGGGTGTTTTGCTCTGCTGATGATTTTCTGGATAGTTCAAGTCTTATTTTGGAATGGCTCATTTTGAAGCAGTGAAGGCAGAGAGTACAAGTTTTAATGATGAAATTATGGAATAAATATTTGGAGACCACAGAAACATATTCTTACATGTTGAGAATACAGCCCTCATGTTGTCAGTCTCTCTTGGTCTGCACTACATTTTTGTGGCATATTTTAGAATTCAGTGACCTTTGAGGATGTGGCTGTGAACTTCACCCAGGAGGAGTGGGCTTTGCTGGATCCTTCCCAGAAGAATCTCTACAGAGATGTGATGCAGGAAGTCCTTAGAAACCTGGCTTCGATAGGTAAGCATGATGTTTCATTACATATTGAAAGACAGAGCACCTAGGAGTTTTTTGCCCTCCTATATTTGGAATATAGAAAGGGAGTACTTGGAGAATAAATTGGGCCTAACATCAATTCACTGTGCAGCTTAAATACCAGAATTCTTTTTTTCCCCTTTTTTCATCTCTTTTTATTGGTGCATTATTGTCCAAATTTTTAATCCCATTCATTCTAAAGTCATTCATAATGATTGTTTTGGGTCTACATTTTAGGAGACAAATGGGAGGACCACAATGTTGAAGATCAGAACACATATCCTGGGATAAATCTAAGGTAATTTATACTCACAAGAGGAAACATAGTGCCTTGAGGGAAATCTAGCATGTCCTATAATTTTACAAATAAGAAAATAAACATCATATGAATTATGTTTATTCTTTTTCACCAAATATGAATTGTAATGTAAGATACATGTTTATTGTTCTTAAAATAATGGATTTGTTGATAGTACTAACAAACTGCATTCATGATACCACTGTTTAAGTAGTAACTATGGAGAAGCAGTGTTGTAAAGTAATCATGATATTGACTTTCATATGGTTTAGACATGCCAGAAAACCAGTATTTTCACTGATCTTAATAATTGTATAAGTTCAGGGCCTATTAATAAATGCAAAATTACAGAGCCAACCATAAATTGTGCTTGTAATTTTTTAACAGAAGTCATGCAGTGGCTCTGGAAAAAATTTAAATGGTATTCAGTGTGGAAAAACTTTCAGCGAGATTCCAAATCTAGTCTTAAAAGGACATTCCTGGTAGAAAGTCCATGTGAAAGCAGTACATGTGGACAGGTCTTCATATATCAATTTTTTTTTTCTTAATAGGCCCATCATATCTCACTCTGCAAACAAACTATATGAGAATGAAGAGTATGGAGGGAAGCTGCATGAACGTAAATGGATCAGAAAATCTTTCATTTCTCTCACAAAAGCTCAAAGACATACTGGAGAGATGGCTCATACATGGAAACGATGTAGTAAAGCCTTCATTAACCTTAAATTACACAAACAAACTCATACAGGAAAGAAGCCCTATCAATGTAAACAATGTGGAAAAAGGTTTACTACTTACTCTTGCTTTCATATACATGAACGAACTCATACTGAAAAGAAGCCCTATGAATGTAAACAATGTGGGAAAGCCTTTTGTAGTTCCTCTTACCTTCAAATACATAAACGAACTCATACTGCAGAGAGGCCCTATGAATGTAAAATATGCGGAAAAGCCTTTGCTTCAACCAATCACCTTCACTCACATGAAGGAACTCATACCAGAAAGAAGCCCTATGAATGTAAACAATGTGGGAAACCCTACACTAGGTCCGCTTACCTTCATAAGCATGAACGAAATCATACTGGAAAGAAGTCCTATGAATGTAAACAATGTGGGAAAGTCTTTCCCTGGTCCTCTTACCTTCAAATACATGAGCGAACTCATACTGGAGAGAAGCCCTATGAATGTAAACAATGTGGAAAAGCCTTCACTACGTCGTCTAACCTTCAAATTCATAATCGAATTCACACTGGAGAGAAGCCCTATCAATGTAAGCAGTGTGGCAAAGCCTTCACTCAGTCCAATCAACTTCACTCACATGAACAAACCCATACTGGAAAGAAGCCCTATGAGTGTAAACAATGTGGAAAAGCTTTCAGTTGTTCCTCTTACCTTCAAATACATAAACGAACTCATACTGGAGAGAGGCCCTATGAATGTAAAATATGTGGAAAAGCCTTTGCTTCATCCAGTCACCTTCACTCACATGAACGAAGTCATACAGGAAAGAAGCCCTATGAGTGTAAACAATGTGGGAATGCCTACTCTAGGTCCTCTTACCTTCATATACATGAACGAATTCATACTGGAGAGAAGCCCTATGAATGTAAACAATGTGGAAAAGCCTTCACTACGTCGTCTAACCTTCAAATACATAATCGAATTCACACTGGAGAGAAGCCCTATCAATGTAAGCAGTGTGGCAAAGCATTCGCTCAGTCCATTCAGCTTCACTCACATGAACATACTCATACTGGAAAGAAGCCCTATGAGTGTAAACAATGTGGAAAAGCCTTTTTTAGTTCCTCTTACCTTCAAATACATAAACGAACTCATACTGGAGAGAAGCCCTATGAATGTAAGCAGTGTGGAAAAGCCTTCATTGCTTCCCTTTACCTTCAGGTACATGAACGAACTCATACTGGAGAGAAGCCCTATGAGTGTGAACAATGTGGAAAAGCCTTTGCTTCTTCCAGTGACCTTCACTCACATGAACGAACTCATACAGGAAAAAAACCCTATGAATGTAAACAATGTGGGAAAGCCTTCACTAGGTCCTCTTACCTTCAAATACATAAACGAACTCATACTGGAGAGAAGCCTTATGAATGTAAACAATGTGGAAAAGCCTTTACTACAACATCTAACCTTCAAATGCATAATCGAATTCACACTGGAGAGAAGCCCTATGAATGTAAGCAGTGTGGCAAAGCCTTCACTCAGTCCATTCAACTTCACATACATGAACATACTCATACTGGAAAGAAGCCTTATGAATGTAAACAATGTGGAAAAGCCTTTTGTAGTTCCTCTTACCTTCATAGACATAAACGAATTCATACTGGAGAGAAGCCCTATGAATGTAAGCAGTGTGGGAAAGCCTTCAGTAGGTCCTCTTCCCTTCAGACACATAAACGAACTCATGCTAGAGAGAAGCCCAATGAACATAAGCAATGTGGTTAACCTTCACTTACTCCAGTCTCCTTTACTTACATGAATAAACTCATACTGGGAATAAGCCCTTTCACTACTGCATCTTACTTTCAAAAACATAAATGAACTTATACTAGAGACAAGCCCTATGATTGTAAGCCGTGTGGGAAAGCCTTTGCTAATTCATCTAGCCTTCAAATACATGATTGAACTCATAATGGATATAAGTTTTGTTGTGCTTTGGATTTAAGGTTTTCACTAAAAGGTTAAATGTAAAACAATGCAAGAAGTTTCAGAGGAGAAATGATTTTCTCATGAGAATCTTAAACCAATCAATCCATTAATCCCCTGACAGGGATTCACTGAGTGGTAGGGAGTGGCTGGAGGAGGTGGGAATTGGCAAGGCTTTGGAGTATATATTTGTATCTGGCCAGTGAAGACCTCTCAGTCTGTTTCCTGATCATCATGTGAGCTGCTTTCCTTTGTCACACTCTTCCATCATGATGTTCTTCTGCCTTACCTCAAGCCTTTGAGGAATGGAGACTGCTGTCTGAATTGACCCCTTAAATAAACTTTTCCTGCCCTACAATTGTACTGGTTGATTCTTTTAATCATAGAGTGAAAAAGATGACTAAAACAAATTTGTACCAAGAGTGAGGTCGTTGTTGTTAGTAATCTGATGATATATTTCATAAGCATTTGCAGCATTTTGGAATAGGATGGAGGAATTTTGAGATCTTTAGCAGTTCAAGCTGGAAATTGTATAGGTTGTTGTAAGGGGAGCTTAATGGCCGGTAATGGTTGGAGCTCAATAAGACTGTGGACAGTGAAGACAGGGCTCAAGTGTGTTTAGAGGAAAAGGATGACACTACTGGTGACTGGACTAGAGGTCATTCCTGTAATGCTCTGGCTAAGAAGTTGTCTGCATTTTACCCTTGTCATGAGTCTTTCTGTGAGGCTCGTTTTAAAAGTGATGGACTTCTTAATCTGGCAGAAGAAATTTCTATGTAGCATAGCTTTCTGGTTGTGGCATGGATATTGCTGGCAGCTTTTAGCCAAATCTATTGTAGTAAGGAGCAGAAAGCAGAACAGAAAGATTTGGAAAATGTGGACTTGAACAAAACAGGGACTAAGAAAGTTGCAGTTGTTAAAGACATTACTGCCACTAAAGAATGCCCATAGACAACTAAAGAGTGCCCATAGACAACAAGAAAGATGGCCTGAGGGCATCTCAGGAGCTGGCAAGACCACACCCTTCTCATGAAGCTCTAGGGAATAATAGTGAAAATTCTTTTGAGACCAGTGGGGCACCCTTCTTGCACAAAGGACCATAGGAAGTTTCTTCCCCATGCTCAGCCACCCAGACACTCACAGGCTGCTGCAGCCAGAGGTTTGGCTACTGCTCAAGATGGTAACAGACTTTGGCATCAACCATGTAGTGCTCTCTTGGCACGAATGCAGGGTGCTTCAGTTAGGGATTCAGGGAGGCTTCATGAAGATTTCAAATATCTGGTAGGACAGACAAAGTGCATCAGGGTCAGAGTCCCTGTGGGCCTCCCCTGAGGATTCAAAATATGGAGATGTGAGGAAGAAGCTGAAGGTGAAGTGAAGAACCCAGAGATTAAAAAATGCCAGTAACATGGGACATAGTCAGGAAAGCAGCAGGCATTGAGCAGAGACAAGCCAACACAAAGTCCACTTGGGCTGCATTCACCAAGGCCATAGGGCTAGAGCTACACAAGCTTTTGAAAAGAACATCACAATGCCTTGTGCCTCAAATGCCAGATGTGGAGCTACAGGACCTGTTTGCCCAGCTGGATTTTGGTGTCAGTTTGATCCTATCCCTTCATTCTATGCTCCAATTTCTATATATTAAAATGTTTATTTTGTACTGAAATCTTCTAAAAGTAAAGCTCAGGGGTTTTTTGTTGTTTTTGTTTTCAGTTGTTACTGTCTTCAATTGAATATTTCACAGTTATCTGTCCATTCTGGTGTTTGTTTGTGTTTTTGAGATAGGGTGTGGCTAAATTTCCCAGGCTGCATTAGCATATTGCTAAGTGTCTAAGGCTGGCTTTCAACCTGTGATTCTCAGGCCTTAGCTTCCCAAGGTGCTAGAATTACAGGTGTGTGCCACCACACCTGGCTTCTGATTCTGTTTTAATTAGATGTTTTAAACCTGTTTCAACATCTTTGGCAGGCTTCCCCAGGATCAAAGTTTTAAATTAAATTTCTTCAAACTGAAGGTAAATTTTGGACATTTCAAAGAACCCCAGAACTTTTCAGATGTTTATATTACAAAAAGGAGATATTAAGCTCCTCAGGCTAATTTGCTAAGTTGCAATGTATGGCAACATTGTCAAATGACACAGTAATTCTAAATTCTTTCAAAGTTATATTGGTATGAATGTCAATAGATTATGTTAGAGAGTAAATGGAATTTATAGCTGTCCTGATATGATGCCATCGATCACGATTTTGGTCATCTTAAATTGCTATCTGAAATAACTGAATTTTTCAATTAGTAAAATTTCATATGATTTTAACCATTTATTTTCTAAGTCACTGTTATCTATCAATAAACAATGACTATTTTGATTTTTCTCTGAAGATATGCAGTTGGATTAATGGAAATAAATGACTGACAAGTACCCTTCAATATAGTTTTCTGATTATTTTAAGACCTTGGAGGGATTAGACCTTCCATCTGGGACCCTAGTTAGTGCTCATGAGGAAATTGCTGGAGGTGGTTTTCATTCTAATTGTTAAATAAATTTTTAAAATTTTATTTCTGAGTTCCTCTGTGACTCACTGTTTATTCAATGTCTTTTTTTTGTGTGTGGTTTGGATCTGGAATGAAAGTGTGGCCTCAGTGCAACAGGGCTGGGGTTGGGGGTCTTTCACAATTGCCTGGGTCATGAGGGCTCTAACTTCATCAGTAGTTTAATCCCCTGATGGCTGAACAGGCCACAGGAAGTGGGATCTAGTTGAGGGAGTAGGTCACTTCCTGTCTATCTCTGTTTTCGGACTGACTGGAGCTCAGCAGTGTGCTTTCACTGTGTCTTTCTGCCATTCTCTTTTTCCTTGGAGCTAGCCAGCTATGGAAGGAACTTGATTTGATTGTGATCAGAAAAGATATAAATATGATTTCAAGATGTTTGTTAAGACTTGTCTATGGCTTAATACATATTCTAGAAAAGTTTCATGTAGTGATGAAAAGAAGTTGAATTTTACAGCTGTTGGGTATAATATTTTTGTGAAAGATGGTTATATTTCTTTGTTCCTGTTTTTTGTCTAAGCGATTTGTTCATTAATGAAAAAGTGGGCTGTTAAGTTCCCTGCTAGGACCGTACTGGATCTTGTAATTCTGGTAGTTGTTGTTTGATAGAATGGTGTGCACATAGAAAGTCAGGAGCACAGTGTCTTTCTGCTGAAGAGTTCCCTCGCTCTGCAAACTGACCTTCCATATCTCTTTACAATTCTGGTCTCTAAGCCTGTCCAATTGGATGGAAGAGAAGCTGTTCCTGCTGCTCTGCTTTCTGTGGTGTGGGTACCTCTCTCCACTTTAGCACTGTCTCTGTAGCAGTTGAAGTGAATTTCTTGTAGGCAGCATGTTGTATCGTGGTTTTTATCCATTCTACCAGTCTTTTTTTTTTTTTAAATCTTTTTTAAATTGTAGATGGACACGGTCCCTTTATTTTACACTCATTTTCATGTAGTGCTGAGGATTGAACACAGTGCCTCACACATGCTAGACAAGCGCTCCACCACAGAGCCACAGCCCCAGCCCTTTTATTTTCACAATTATTCTTGACAGTTAAGAAGTCTTTCCTTTCATTTTATTGTTTTTAAAATTTTTCTCTGAATCCCATTTCTAGTGGGATGTATATTTTCCCATGCTTTTTAAATTTTGTTCCTGGGCTTTTAATTCAGGGTACTTGACCACTGAGCCACAACCCCAACCCTATTTTTTATTTTATTTATAGAGACAGGATCTTACTGAGTTGCTTAGTGCCTCACTAAATTGCCTCACTAAATTGAACTCCCAATCCTGCTCCCTTAGCCTCCCAAGCTGCTGGATTACAGGTGTGTTCCACAACACCCAGTGGGTCTGCATGCTTTCTTGATAATAGTCACCTTTCTTGTACTTCTGTAGGTATGACTCCCTTAAGTGTCTTTTATAAGACTGGTGTTGTCAAAATTTTCTCAATTGATATTGGTCATGAAAATCTTTGGCTTTTTTTTTTTCCCATAAAGAAACAAACTATATTTTTGCTGGGTATAGTAATCTGTATTACTAGTTATTTTCTTCCAAGTCTTTGAATACTACATTCCATTCTCTCTTGGCCTAATAGATTTCTACTGTGAAATCTATTAGTTTCATGGGGATACAGTTAAATGTGACATGCCACTTTTCACTTACAGATTTCAAAATTCTTTCTTTGGCTGGGCACAGTGGCACAGGCCTGTTATCCCAGGCTTGGGAGGCTGAGGCAGAAAAATCACAATTTTAAAGCCAGTCTCAGCAACCTAGTGAGACCCTAGGCAACTCAGAGAGACCCTTTGTCTAATTAAAAAAAAAAAAAATAGGTATGTGACTCAGTGACTTAGCACCCCTGGGTTCAATCTCTAGTGGGGAGGAGAAAGTACCCACTTATTGGTCCCACCACTAAATTTTTCTTCATTTTTTTTTTCTTTTGTGGTGTTCAGGATGAAACCTAGGGCCTTGTGATCATTTGCATGTTTTACCACAGAACTACAGCTTAACTACTTAATTTTGTCTAAAAATTATATTTAATACTCATTCATATATTATCGGTTTTGGAAGTAGTATTTATGACAGTTTTAATGTCACCTAATAGAATAGTAAGTACACCAGTTTATCCTTTTCACTGAATCATTGTTACATATTTAAAACTATTATGTATGAAATCTATATGTGCAAATGCTTAGGAAAATATATGTTATGTACTATGTATAGTTCGTAGTACTCTGATTCATTAAAATGTCAACCATTGTTAATATTTTTACTTCAAAATGCTCTTTTCCATTTTTAAAGTTTCATTTCTGTGAAGATGTGGGCTCAGTTTGCCATCTTGATAAAAACCTGAAGTCAAATCACAAAATCTCTGAATTAACTTTGGATAAGATATCTCATGAGCATCATAAAAATATGTCTTGACTATTACGTACAGCAATCATAGTCATTTTCCCCTCCTTACTAAAGAGAACACTGAGATTGGGTATCCACAGTGTCTCAAAGTCTCATTCCTTCATACTATTTTAAAAAATAAACTACAAGGACATTTAGAAATGCAAGCTACTACAAATTGTTATTTCTTAATATACAAAATTACCAAACCCTCAAGCAAATTGTGTTAATAGACCTATGTCAAGTAAACAGTTAAAATTATTTACATTTTCTTGCCCAAATAATACCCCATATCTACATGGTCTCAAGGACACATTATACCGTTTTGTAATGATGAATACTGATTGGAAGTTCAAGGATGGTTGAATGGAGGCATTTGACACTCATGTGACCCTCTACAAGAAGTTATAGAAGCAGCAGGTGTATTGCTGCATATTGAGGTAAGAGATCATGGGAGAGCACTGGAATTCAATAGGCAAAAAATAAAAACCTTGGAAAATCTACAGACTCTGGACAGCAGCATGGCAAGACAAATAAAATTCCAGCACCTGCTGCCTCAGCTCCTTAAAGGAAGGGGGAATCTTCCCACATGCGGAAGTAAATATGAGAGTCCCAGCAAACTATCAGCAGACACTGGCATTCTTAAGAGTAAGAAAGGTTCAGCATCCTTGTGGGATGATAACCTAACTGGATAAGTAACCAGAAATCTGCATAATAGTTGTGCTTTGGAAGAGGATTTCACATTATTATCCAGTGAACACTCAAGGTGCATTAGCCAGGAGGAGCTATTTAGAAGGGACCTATCATGTGAACTGGCTCTGTGGATAGCTACCTTATGAACCAAATGCATTTCAGTAAGTGATTGACTCTGGGGAATATAGCTGAGTTGGTAGAGAGCTTGCCTTGCATGCGCAAGGCCCTGGGTTCAGTCCCCAGCACCACAAAAAGTGACTGACTCATACACACTGTGCTCCGATACGTTGGGGGTGATACTGTGACAGAAGAGACTGGAGGGGCACCAACTTCTAGATTTAGGAGATGTGGGAGCCTGCCATCCAAGACCAGGGAGAAGACCAGCTTCATACCAATGTTATATTGAAGGCGGCCGCCCAGGCAATTTCTACCACCCTTCCCCCAGTGCTGGGCACAGGCACCTGCCACTGAATTTTGGGGGTAAGAATTCCCTGGTACCATGGCTACCCTGCTCACATGAGCATGCAAAGGCCATCTTTGGATACATAGGTAGCCTAAAGTGCTCAGAGATGAGCTTTACCCAGACCAACCAAGTTATCTGTAGTCAGTCCCACAAGTACTTGAGTGACTATTTACCTGGCTCCAGCCATGTTTACTCACTCCTGCTTGCTTTCTGGTGGGAACTATAGCTGAAAGATTGAAGAGAGAAAAGTCAGGGAAACCTTACAAAGGGTCTACCCAGGGGACCTTGGTAGAAGTTGGGAGGCAGCGCCATGGAGTCATAGTCCATGATCATCTGGAGCTTAATGGGCTCTTGGCATCCTGTCCTTTAGGGAAGTCTAGAGGCATATGATGGGGTTGTTATGGTTTGGATGTGAGGTGGCCCCCAAAAGCTGATGGGATAGACAATGCAAGAACATTCAGAGGAAAATGATTGGGTTGTGAGAATGTTAACCCAATCAGTGAATTAACCCCCTGATGGGGATTATGAGTGGTAACTGAAGTAGTAGGGTATGGCTGGAGGAGGAGGGAATTAGGGACAGAGCTGTGGAGCCGGGTGTGGCTGAATGGGGCCCAATATCCCCACTGCCTGGTGTGGGGATGGCCTTAGGCCTTAACCTAAGCAACTCCAATTTAAAATAAGCCTGCAGTCTCATCAGGCAAGCGTATGTCACCAGGCATAGCCTGATAAAAACAAGTCATTTTCACAACCCTGATAAAAGAGTGAAGTCACATGCCATTTGTCTTAACCCTGATAAAAGTTAGAGGGTAATATCGGAGTAGAAACCACCAGAATATATGTCCTCCCTAAGATGAAGTATGTCACTAAGAAACTGGGTAACAGCTTATAGGGACCTAAAGGGAGAGCAGAAGCTCCCAAAATTGATATAATAGAGCAAAAGGACAGACATTCAGCCAATGGGCACTGATGCACACAAGCCTGAGAGCCTGATAAGGACCTGGACTGACAACCCAGCTCTTCTCATCATCTGCCTGATCCTCTGGATCGTCCTCACTGCTTTCCAACTCTACAGCAGCCTCTTGACCCTGGTGAGAAAGATAACTTCTTCTTACAACCATCTCCTCAGCCAGCCGTCAATTTCACCCCACAAGAAGAATCCATCGGTTCCTGACCTGGTCACTGTGGTCTGAGTAAATGTGGATCTGCTGGACTTGAGTCCCGAGACTTAAGACTTTAAATCTTAAGCTTAGCATGCAGAGGGAATGTCTGTAATAGGTCTGTCATGATTGTGTTTGTAGTGCTTAGAGTTAACTTAGAATATGTTTGTGTTAAACCATGACACAAAGAAAAGACCAACTCCAATTTTAGATCAAATTAAAGCAAACTTGTAATTATGGCCAGAACTGTCTGTCCTGAAAACCCTGGGCTCTATAGAGAACAACACCCCAGCTCTCTAGGAGCAAAGTTTTATAGCTCAAAAAGTTGCAAAGCGGGGTGTCTTGAGAACTTATAGCTAACAGGATTTTGATAAGCATAATACAAAGGCAGATAGCAGGTTAGTGATCTACATGGTATGATATTTCAAGGTAGGGAATAAATTCAGATCCCAACATAAGAATTTATAAGGCACTGCTGAGGTTTCAGAGAGGGTTATTATCTGGTTAAGGGAAGCCAGGCATGGGTGAGTTCAAGGCAGGAATTCCAAACAAGTTTAGAAATCACATTTATAGTAAAACAGAAATTAATTTTTCTTGACTTTGCGATAGGATGGCTTCCAATCTTAAAATGGAATTAGGCTAGGTTTATCACTGGGTTCAATCCCTAGCGAGAGAGAGGGGGCGGGGGAGATACTGTATTGAGTGCTATTGAGTGAATAAAGAATTGAAAAGGGCATAACACATGAACATTATTTATCTTTCCTCTTGAGTGCAGATGTTGCACCTTGGCCCATGAGGTGCAAGAATATGTAGTATGTAGTGACCACCTGGTCACTTTACTACATATTCTAGTTTATCTTCCGGTAGTGCTTGGGTCTTCCTTCTCCCCTCCTGTTCATCATGATGAAGTAGGACAGGATAGACACCTGAAGAATTTTCAGGAAGCAGGTTTCTTGACCTCAGGGTTCAGAGATGGCTCTCGGCTAAGAATTCTTCTGAATAAAGATTTTGGAAATACTTTGAACTTTATATCCAATGTGGGGAAGGGGTATGTGGAGATTCACATGACAAGTGATTTCTGTTCCATCCCCTAGAACAGACATAGATTTACTATTTTTTTTCTTTTTTAACCAAGAAACAGAAAATCTCTTTGTGCACAGGAGCTTGTACACTAACTCACATCTTTTGTGTGCAAACCTGACATTTACAAGACAGAGGAAGTCTCAACCACAGTAACCTGCAGACATCCTGCTGATCTGACTAGAGGAGAAGCTTAGTTATGGCCACTTCTGGGTGGGCGGCTCAGGCTGGCTCTAAGGGCTGTAGATAGACCTTCATACTCTCCGTATCTGCTTGGGATTCCTATCCTGCTGTCCCCTCCAGCTGCCTGCCCTGCATTCTGTCACTTACACTTGACACCAAGCGCTGAATTCTGGAAGTGGATCGCTGACCTATTTCTCACACTCCCCGCCATGAACTGCTCATTGATTTCTGCCTGCAGCCCACCCTTGTGCTCCTATTTAGCTGTGGCCTTCTACACCAAGATGCAGACATTCTGGCCCCTGTCAGGTCCCCATAGGGCTCTGCTGTCCTGCCAGAAAAGGGCTGGGCCGAGTATCTGTCACTCGGGCCTGCGACAGCCAGGGACTGGACGACATGGGCTGTCACTCAATGCTAGGAGGGGTGCTTGTCCCCTCTGTCAGGGGCCCTAGGGTGGAACTGTCCGCTCAGGCGCAGAAGGAGGGGAAGGTTTCCACAGTCTCCCGGGTTTTCTTTCCTCACCAGTCCTCTCCTTACTCTGCAGGTCAGTCGTTCCCTACTCTGGAGGCCCCGGAAGCCCCGGAGAGTTCCTGCAGCCTGTCTGTCCAGGGATGTACCTCGGGAGAACAGCAGGTGAGTCTGCAGCTAGGACTGGAGGGACCTAGTCAGCAACTGCCCTGGGGCCCTGGCGTGGGGGTGAGCATTGCCAATCCCTGGGTCCCTCACAGTGGGCTGGCTGGCGGGTCGTGTGGTCAACTGCACAGTGTGCAGCCAAGAATCTTCTGGTAGGTCACTCTGGGACCCTGTCTGCTGAGCCTGCAGGGTAGGCTGGCCAAGTCTGGTCCCTGTCATCCTGTACCCTCCCTTTTGGCGACCTTCCTAGGTCATCCCTGGGTCGCTCCTGCAGCCTGCTTTCAGACTGTGTGGTGAGCATTAGCGGGAAATGAGTGGGAGGACACTGAGATCTGGAATCTGGAAGCAACACTTTATTAGTGGCACTAGGTCCTAGAGGGGTAATCCGCCAAGTCTGAGTCCTGGGCTCAACAAGGCCTTTCCTTTCATACATAAACAAGTTCGGAGTCTTTACAGTTTTTTTTTTTTTTTGGGGGGGGGGTGGTACTGGGTATTGACCTCAGGGGCACTTGACCACTGAGCCACATCCCTGGCCCTATTTTGTACTTTTTATTCACAGAGAGAGTCTCACTGAATTGCTTCGCACCTCACCATTGCTAAGGCTGGCTTTGAAGGCTCAATCCTCTTGCCTCAGCCTCCTGAGCTGCTGGGATTACAGGTGCAT